CTCAGCGCTTGTTCGCTTTTGGAATCGGCTTGCCTAGCAGCTGCCTCCCATCAACCTCTCTTCGGTGCGCGCGCCGCGGTTGATCTGATCAGCAAGATCCTCTTCTACAGGATGGATGTGTTTGACGAGCTGCACCAAGTGCTGGTGAGCGCTTGTTCAAAGTGATGATGACGTGCTCGGAGGGGCGAAGACGCGAATTCTTGCCCTTCTTTGGCTCCTAGTTTTACCTGTTCGCCGCGGTTGATGCTTGACACGCGAGTTCTGCAGGAAGACACACGGAATGAAGCTGCTGAACAAAAATTGCTGGCGCTTTAAAGCTTGCCTTGCGAGAACGCTGTGATGACAAGGCGCGGCAGAAGCCGCTTGGCAGCCGTGAGCCTTGTTCAAGGTCTGATACAAGAATTGAGTGTGCCAGGGAAAACGTTTCCTGGCAGTGTCAACAAGAATTGGATCATCAACACATGCCAAATTGTGGCGCTTGACCCTGTATCCACTTGAGCTCACATGAGTCGTGCCTTACCCAGTGGCCCTTTTAGCTTCTCTGGCAGTTCACGGGCTGAAGTCACGTGAAATGAAGCGCGGATGACCCCGATAGGCCTCATTTCAATTTTTTGGGACCTTGGCTTCCAAGTCCACAATCGGATCTGAGGGGAGACAGGTGCCAAAGGCAAGCGGCCACCGCACGGTGTTGTTGTTTCGTTTTGTGCTTGTTAGAGCATTTAGAGACACACAAAAGGTATGCTGCAGCCATGGCCCCAATGTCTAAGGATGTCTCCTGCCACAGTGACGAAGGTGGCTGCTCGTCATCTGGTGTTGGCACTGGAGAATGAATAGCTGCGAGCCCTGCGGAGAGACATCGACAGTAATGCATGATGCAGCCAATCATGGTCACACTGAAGCGAGCGGCCGTTCTCAAACGCTCACTTTGATTCTCGCTGCGTCTGTCCTTCCATCCGTGCAAATATGACTCCGCACTACGCCGGGATATGTGGGGCAGTGCCTCGCCCATCTGAACTGGGTCATACTCCATGCCAGCTGCAGCCAAGCCATTCCACTTCTCGCGTGCTTGTTCAAGTTCAGCAGCAGTGATAGAAGGAATCTGCTCTTTCACTGCAACCGCTTTGCTCATGAAAATGCTCGCTTCTGCATTTCCTAGCTCGTGTAAAACCCCAGCCAACTGTTCACAAGTCTCTGCAGTAGCTGTGTGAATGAAACCGCATGTTCGTTCACGCGCATGTAGTGCTTTCCGGAAATACGACACCGCGGCAGAGGGGTCCTGACACAACCTGAAGAGAAGTCCAAACTGATGCATCGTTTCTCCCACCTCCTTGCTCACGATGCCAAACACCTCTTCCCGAATGCAGCATGAGCAGTCAAGCCAGTATCTGCTTTTGGAAAACTCTCGCAGGTCCATATGCACGGATGCCAGGGTTTGCATGAGCAGAGCCAGTTTAGGAGCATGACATCCTCTGATGTCCACGCCAGTGTCTTCTATGCACACTTCTTCCTCATCTTTCAGCAATCCCAAAGCTGTGGAGGGGACGTTCTCTCCGTCCTCCCGACCCACTTGTTTTGCTGGCAGAAGCTTGGATTTAACTCTCACAAATACCCTCATAGCCAGGCTGTGCCTTGATGTTTCTGTGCGCACGCTTTCCTTCAGCGCAGCTTCAGCCTGTCCCCGGTGCCCTCGCTTTGCCTGAACTCGCTTGGTCCTTTCGGAAATCTTCTGCGCATCCTGCTCTTCGTCAGAGTCTGCAAGCCTGGCTTGGATGTCGGCATCGTTTAAGAACGAGAAAACGTTTAATGCCTCCGTAAGTGCAGCCAGCGCTTGCTCAGATTCCTGTTTGCGCACCAGGACCAAGCCCACCTGATATAATGTGTCTGCGGAAAGCGCGTGCATCTTGCCGAGGGCCTTCTCTCTGTCTCTGTACGCAGTTTTCAATAATCCCATTGCCGTCTCAAGGTCTCCTAGGTTTGCGAAGGCGACTCCAAGTGCTGCACGGCTTGAGGCGGCCTGCGCACTGTGCTTTCCGACGAGCTTCTCCCGCAGGGCAAGAGAAGCTTGCAAGTAGAGCTTTGCTTCCGAAGGCAGAGCCAACAACAAATGTGCTTGCCCGAGCTGATGCAAGGAAGCTGCATATGTCAAGTTTCTCTTGCCAAGGTGTTGTTCTCTAATGGAAGCGGCCTGTGAGAGATGTGCTAATCCCTCCTGGGCATCGTGGGCATTTCCCCGGAGCAGTAGACCAGAGCCTAGCTCGTGCAGTGTCTCGGCAAGGTGAATGCTGCCTTCGCCGAGTTGTCTGCGACGGATCTCTGCCGCTTTTTGAAGCAGCATCAACCCTTCCTCCAAGCGACGGGGACTTCGCACACACAGCGAGCCTAGCGCATGTGCTGAGCAAGCAATTGTTGCATCAGCGCTTGTCTGGTAGACTCGAATCAACAGAGCCTTCTCGAAGCTTCGACGGGCCTGCTGCACATTGCCCGTGGCAAAATGGACACTGCCCAGCAATTGTGCCGTCGATGCCACCTCTTCTGATTCCACCCCGAAGAGCTCAGCACGGATGTTTAGACACTGTTGCAAGTGCTCAGTGGCCTTGTGCAAAGCACTTGTCATTCGCTGCTTGCTTTCACAAGCAATTCGGAGGTGAAGAAGCCCCAAATGGAAGAGTTGTGTTGCCACCGCTGAAGACTTGTAGCCAAACAACTCTTCACTGGCTCGCATAGCTAAGCTCATGGACTCCAAGGCCTCCTCATCCCTGCCAGACCTGGCACAAACACTCGCATACATGTTCAGAGTTGAGAATAAGTCGGGATCAGCGGCGTCTAAAATCTCTTTCTTGTATTGTAGAGATGCCATGAGATGATCACGTGCTCGCTCCAGATCTTCGCACTTGTCATGAACTTCAGCAACAATCTCATGGCTGCGTGCAATGTGCAGCTCTAGCTGCTGTCTCGCACCTACATCACATAAAACACTGTCAATAGTTGGCATGGTGCTCAGGATTGTTTGCTGCCGTCGGAGGCGCTCCTTGAATGCACATAGTGCGAAATGATAATTCGCGATCACCGGATTGTCCTGCTTCTTGCTGTCCATGCGCTGGCGGTCGTGCACGATCTGGAATCTGTTCGCCTTGACCAAGAAGGCATATCCTGCCAAGTGGAGAACTGTCATTGCATCCTCATGCAGGCGTCCTTGGGACTGCTCGCGCCTTTCCAACACCACGCTCAGAGTGTGTAAAGCTGCCTCTGTGTCACCCAGATGAATATAGGCAGTGGCCATGTTCGTCATGATTGTGATGACGTTGTCGTGCGAATCCTTTTTCTTACCAGCAGCACGCCGGACAATGCGCAGTGCCTCTCGGAAATTTTGAAGTGCAGACATGACATCTCCACGCTGCAAAGAGCAGCATGCAAGGTTGGAAAGAATGATGCCTTTTTGAACAGGCTCCCGATCCATACTATTCAGTCGCACTGTCTTCGCCTTCAAAGTGGATGTCAGCTCTGGCAAGGAAACCTTGCCATCGTTAGCTACACTGTCGAGCATGGAGAACACGCGAGCCGGATCTCCTGGGTAGTTCAAGCGTGAGAGTGCCTCAACAAACTTTTTGTGTCCCAGAGCAGACCGCCACTCGCCCCTTACCAACTCGGTGTACAACATCTCTTCACTTCCATCATATCTTTCCTGGATAAAAGCCTTTAAAACTGCAAGCTCCGAAGCTGCTGGCTTTTTTTTCTCAGATGTGAGCTTTAAAGCTTGGCTGAAGTAGTCAAAAGCGGTGTTGTAATCGCCAAGCAAATACATTTCAACTCCCCAGTTGTTGGTGTTCTCGGCTTCGAAAAGGGACTTGCCAATTGTTGCTTTATGCTTCTTGAAAGCAGCAATGACATCGTCATCTTGCGGGTCCAGGGTGCCGGATTTCTTGAGCTTCAACAAACTCTCCTCACCTATCTCCTGCACCACCGGATCCGCCGACAATCCCATGTTTTGGGCTACATCCACGAAGTCGTGTGCCATCACATCAGCAAGGTCGTGAAAAGCAGTTTCACCCTGACCGTTGGCATCTGCCCTTCGCCTGCTCACGTGTGTTCGGAGCCGGGACAAATATGTTTTCCCGTTGTCGGGGTGAAGCCCTCCAATACTGCTAAGTGCAGCGACCACTTTGCTCCGATTCGCACTTCGCTTGGTCCCTGGTTCAGACCGCATGATGTATCGAGAAGTCCAGCTCTGAGGCTTGCGAGCAGAGGGCGAGCCGCTCTGCGGGCCGTCGAGGCCAACGGCATCGTCACCATCCGTGGCCGCTTGTTCTTCAGTCATTCTGCTCCAAGCCTAGGTGCACGCCGTCGACAGACCGACATTGCCAATCCTCCTCCGCGACTCAAGATGGCTTGTCACTTGCAGCAGTGTTGGGGCTGCTCCTGGCGTCACATCGCTGCGACACGGCCTGTGCCCGTGCATGTCATGGGGTGCTGCTATGCTGCAGGTCAAGACAAATGCAACACCGAACAGTCTCCATCACTACGTGTTAAGAAGCCGGAGGGAACAACACTTTTGCTAGCACCATAGCTTTCCATATGTTTCCACCAATGATATCTCAGGAGAAGGCTGACGATGAACGATACATGTGCAGCATTTCAAAATGGCTGCCTCTATGCTGACGGTAATTGATTTCGATGGAAACGAGGCTTCACAGCTTCACGCTCTTTCGGCCCATGAGGTGCATGGACTCAACTGACCCAAGTCTTCTGACCTCATTTACTGCTTTTTGCACAAAGAATGTTTGTTGCGTTGTCGCGCACAAGGTGCAGACCTTGCCAACATCTATGTACGATATGTCTAACTTGATGGCTACCGTGGGTGGTGCAAGTGGTAGTGGAGGTGGCCCATCCAAGACTGGTCCTACACCATGTCGTACAAGGATGTGCTGGGCCTTCAATCGGTAGCCACCTCCACGCATCATGTGTGTGCACGAAAGAGGAGCAATGGCAATGCGGGATCCTCCCTATCCCAGGGAGGATTTGCCTGCTCTTAACTCCGTCGCCTGAGGCTGACCTCGATAGTTCTTAAAGACGCTAAAAATCACTTGGTCACCTTGATTGAAGTGCCGCTTCTGGTTCTTTTGCAAGAAAACATCCATGCCATTGAACTTCTGTTTCAAATCATCATTGCCGATGAAGCCGTAACCTTTGTCCTGCAAACAGTGCGATTTCCATCGTGAGAAGCCAATTAGTGCCAATTAGTTGTGCTCACTGTGCAACCCCGTCCTCGAACCACATCGTAATTCGTCCTTCAAATCTTCTGTCTGTGATGCCAGGCATCTGCTCCATGTCAGGTGGCCTGTAGCTGGGATGATTCGCGTCGCTGGAAGCGCCAGGCGGCAAATCGTCGACATCGTGCAAATCGATTCCTTTGTCCTTTTTTCTCTTTTTGCCTTTCTTCTTGTCGTCGTTCTCGCCCAGCATGGACCCCATCATGGCACCCATCATCATCATCTGCATCTGCATCTGCATCTGCAGCATCATTTGCTGCTGCATTTCGTCACCTTCGCCCTCAGGGCTGCCACTCGTCGGCCCCGTGCCGCCGGCAGGCCCTGCAGGACACAAACCGCCACCCATGCCGCCCAGAGGCCCCGGCCCAATGCCCCCACCACCTGGGCAGCCGCCCATGCAAGGCATGGAGGACCCGCCGCACCCCATGTCCAGCCCGGGCATGCCTGGCACTTTTGGCATGAAGGACTTCGGCAAAACAGCTCCGTTTGGCCCGGACCCACAAGGCATGGGGAGCGTGGCCTCAGCACACACGCCAGCAAGACGAAAAGCGTGGCAAAATCTGCGCAGTATCTATGACAACAAGAAGCAAAACAGAGCACTGTATGCCCGGATAAGTGGCCATGGGCAGTCCAGGCGATGCTGCGGGCAAAGATGGCAAACCGGCTCCAAGTGGCGGAGCGCCCTTTGCAACTGCACCCATGTTGCTAGGATTCGGCATGCCTCCCTTCATCATGCTGGTGGCTTTGGCCAGCGTGCCAGGGGCGCTCGCCTTTGCAGCCACTGCAGCGTTTCCATCAGTTTCGCCTCGGACGAGTAAGCAACCAAAGGCGATGCAGTTTCAGTGATTAAGTGGCACCACTGCAACCATGTCATTCCTCAGCTTGCAGCAAGAAAGCAACTGAGGTGGCTGCCTATAGCCGCGTTCATTTTCGGCGGTACTGTGCCCGGAGAAGTAGTGGCTGCTGCTTGCCCTTCTGATGTAGGCGCTGGTGTTTGTGTTGTAAGTGCTGCACCAACAGATGCAGGAGCTGGACTAGAAGCTTTTTGCTTCTGCTCTAGCTCCTCGCCTTGCTCCCGCAAAGCAGTCGCCAAGCGTTCCCGCGCCCACCGCCGGGGATCGACCAAAATGGCTTGCTTACTCTCATCTCCAAGAACTTGCGGGAGTTTGTTCCTGTCTTCCTCATCTTCTCCCTCTGGACTCTTTCCAACCGGTGCACCATCCGCCTTCGCGTGGGTTTGCTCTGCATCCTGACCGGCACCATGCTTGCTCTCCTCCTGCTGCTTCTTGTGGGATGCTTCCAGAGCTTCGCGACTTCTTTTTAGTTCGGAAGTCCTCTTCTCCAGTGCCTCTGATCCATGACGACTCGCAAGAGGGGTTATGGTATACTGGGAAATCTTCACTGCACGGCGCTCTGTGACTGCTCCACAGGAACTTATGACATCTAACGTGGCCCCAGCATCATGGTCCTACTACGGTGCTTCGCAAGCCGGGACTCGCGGGGCAATGAGTTCGCTTAGTTTACTTCGACGACTGGCAAAACTTGCACCTCTATTTGCTGAAGCAGTGTGGAGCTCGTTCGCTCCAGCGTCAACTTAACATCGGAGGGAGCTGACGACATTCCTGGCCACGGCGACTCAACAAGCAAAGTCGTGCAGTGCAACACGACACCTCGCGCAACACTGCGTTTGAACTATTAGATGCTTCACGGAAAAGATGTCCTTTAGCAAGAGCTCGCTTCCAGCGTGCAGGCCACGGCCACGCCGCAAAGGCCCTAGAAAGGCAAGGACCACCATCCGCACATTTGGATTTCCTACCGTCTGCAGAACCAAATGGCGAGTCGAATATTCTCGCCCTTGCTCATCTTCACGACAAGCCAGCGTTGAACTTTGCTGTGCTTTCGAGTGTTCATGTGCCACTAGCGTCACGCGCGAAAACATCCGCTGTGCGCCTTGCACCGCCACTGGTTCCGGTAAACATGCATCGAAATCCCTGCTGAATCGGTCAATGCGGCAACCCTCCCAACTACGCAAAGTCGTCGGAGAGCAGGATCTGTTTGTTAATTCTCAGCACATACAAAGAAAGTTTGCCAAAACATGGTTCGGGGAGTCCGTAAACTTGCTCGGTACGTGCTGCCACCACAAACTGGTAAAGAAAAACTGTGGAAACAAATGCAAAACAACCAGGACAACGTAGAAAGATCCCCTCAGGTTGTTAAGGGGGGGGGTAGGGCGCCCAGTATAGACCCCCAACTGTGCTATTTCCTAGGAACTGGGCATAATCCGGGCAACCCATTTTAGACCTTTGGTTGGCTATGGATTTGTGCTGCGTTGGCTATGGATCTGCCCCCAACTCAACCATCCCCCAAATGTGGGGGGGTCTGCCTCAGCCACGTTCAGTTCAGACCTTTTGGGTGGGTCTGGACAGCTTGTGGCCGAGTCTCGCGGTTCAAAACGCCGGACGCTATCTAGACCCGGCACCCAAAACACAATTCAGACCTCAAGAGATCCCATCAAGGTTCTTTCTGTTCGGAGGGAGGGGGTTGGCAGGTGAAAGTTGGGACAGCCTGCCGTGGGGTGAGAGGGGGGCAGTAAATGACAATCTTTTCCTGGCGGAAGTCCACATTCGTGCTTGAGGATCTGTCGTTCATTCTCCCAGTAATGTCATGTGAGCCCCTTGCGAACATCACAGATCCACAAAGCAATGGAACATCACAAATCATTGCATGGTTCAAGGCTTCTGGGTAAGGAGTGTTCGGATGTTTCTGTTTAGTGCTGTTGGGTTTCCGATTTCTGGGTTCCAGGTTTGGGATTTCTGGGTTTAGGGTTTCTGGGTTTTGGAGTTTCTGAATTCAAGGGTTTCTGAATGTTTCTGGATTTCCGGTTCTGGCTTCAAGGGTTTAGGGTTTCTAGGTTCAGGGGTTCTGGGTTCAAAGGTTCTGGGCTCAGGGCTTCTGTGTTGGGAGTTTTTGGACGCGTCTGGGTTTACAGCTTTTTTCCGCTTCTTGGTTTCGGATTTCTGGGTCCAAGGGTTTTGGGGTTTCTCGGTTGCTGGGTGTAGGTTTCCGTGTTCAAGGGTTTAGGCTTACGGCGTAGCAGCAGTAGTTAGTAGCAGTCGCCGCAGCCTCAGCCGCAGCCGTAGCAGTAGCCCGCAGCTCGCGTAGGCTCAGTAAGTGGAGGCACAGCAGCCGGGACGGGACCCGTTCACCCCCCCTTGTCCCTTCTACTATGGCGACGCGTGACAGCCTGCCGGGAAAGGGCCGCGACCCGTTCCCCCCCAAGGGGGGGGGGGGAACGGGTCGCCGGAGTACTCGCTGCTCCTTCCGGTCCTTCTTCGAGGCAAGGCCCAAACACATGAATTGCCCCTCCCCGCTAAACGACGAGTGCAGCCTCCGTCGCAGATCAACACCGACATCCAAGGCTCATCAGGGCTCTAGGTTAAGGGGGTCTGAGATGGTAAGCCGGCGAAGGGTCTAAAATGCCTTTAGACCCATTTCAGACCCCTGGTTCCCTGACCCTTAAGGGTCACCATTCCAGACCCCGGGCACACTGAGGGGATGTAGAAAGTGGGGCGTGGGAACAAGATGGGGCACGATAAGTCTAGTGACTAGTGCTTTCGAGGACATCCACTGCAGATCTCTGCAGGAGCTGCAGGTGGGGAAAAGCGAACCGAGAGAGCGGTATCCCATGTTAAGGGTAAACCATGGCAAGTCATGAATGCGTTCGTCAAGTCATCATCATGAACTACGATTCGGCGATATTTGGCGCCACAATCATGATCTGCTAGTATTCTACCGCTGCTTTGGGGGCCAATGTTGCTAATGCGATTGGCGGCAACTGGGACAGTGTTTTGTACAGCGAAATACGAACAGCATCTGGTGCGGTCGATCTTGATGGGAGCCACCGATTGTACTCTTCGCATCAGCCGACTTCATGTGCAGGCGTCGCGATTTTAGTGCATGGTCGACATGGCAGCAATGTGCAATCAGTGGTTGTCCATGGAGGCTTGATGTATGTGGATGTCACAGCTCAAAACAAAAAATTCATGTTCGTTCCACATGCTGCTTATTCTAACGTTGAGTTGCGGCTTGTGTATGACGGTTTACATCGGATTGTGGAAAAAACATTCAAATTTTCATGTGGGCCTACACGGAGATTTGTTGCTACAGACATTATAAAGGTATCAACGGCACGTTGCGAAAGGTGATTCGGAAAATCACAACAAATGGACTTGTTGCAGCTCAACGGGGGTCAAGCGTCGCATTGACTACATCCTTTACGCATGGAATGTTTCCGCTCGACACGCTGAGGCATCAGATGACGTTGATTCAGGTTCTGACCACCAATCGGTGGTAGCAACATGTTCACAGACAGAACTTGCATGAGAAGATGCGTTCGGTTAAGGCTTCCGTTTCCTACCGGGTTAAGTAAAACTGCAGAGGACCTAAACAGCAGCAGCAGTAACGCTCCCTCTTTTTGTCCGTTGGCGAAAACCGTCCAGTGAGTAGGTAGCCGGTCCGATGTTCGGACCGGATGAGAACCGGCCATTGCAGACAGACCGGCAACCTACGACCGGTCNNACCGGTCGGTAGAAGTTGGTGGACCGGAAATCCAAAACCATATCAAGCTGGCTTGACCGGACCACGGACACACGCCCAACCCAACTCAGGCCAACGCAGATAAAAGGGCAGACAGGTCGTCAGAACCTGACGAGTTGCGTACCGGGGAAGAGGGCAGAAGGTCATCCCAGGGTACGGAAAGCATGCTCCTCCGAAGTGAAACCCAGAAGAGCAGGGGAGCAGCCGCGGCTTAAGGAGTCCGCCAGATCATTCTGGAAACCCGGAACGTGTTCTATAGAGACAGCGATCCGGAACCAATTTTGAAAACGGAGGAACTGGCCCAAGACATGACAAAGACCAGTGGCCATGGAAAGTCCTTTCCAGGAGGCAGATTCAGCGGTTGAGTTGTCACAGCGAAACAGCACGTGTGTAGGCGGATGCCCGGAAGGGAGCAGCCGGTGCAGAAGCACAAGAAGTGCACACTGCGCAAGGAGCTCCCAGGTGCTGATGAACGGCTGAAGGGACACGGCGGCACTCAGCCACGGGCATAATGCACAAAGCGCCGGACTATCAAATTGATGCTGGAAGTAGAGCCGGTCGCCGGATGGAAGGCGGACGAAGCCGCCGAGGCCCACAGAAGTCGCAGAGGCGCACGCGTCCGCAAAAGCTTCCAAGGCGAACGTAGGTGGTAGACGGAGCGACCGGAAGGGCACACCAGAGGCAATGAGATCGCGCCAGAGGCGGAGCGCGACCCTGGACTCATCCGAAACCGTGCGTGTAGGGCTGCGGGTAGCAGTGAGCTGAATCCAGACCCGACGCGACTCAACCGGATTAGCGGGCAGGTCCGATAGAGAGGAAATAGCCGATTGGCCCACCCGGAGAAGGGAAGCACCCACTTGAATTGACGGAATGCCCAAATTACGGGTGATCCGCAAGTCAGGGGTGATGAAAGGCCGCAAGGACAACCACTGATCCGGCGAGAGGGCGCACATGACCGGGGGAAGTCTGTGCTGATCCCGGTAGAGCGGGGTAAGGGTGGGCCGGAGGCAACGAAAGAGGCCAGACACCCACAAGAGCTTGCCGGTAATGCGCTCCAGGTCTGTGAGAGAACAAGACCGGCAGTGCAAGAGAAAATCTATGAGGGCCAGAATCCGGACAGCCTTGGAAGATTCCAGGCGGACGAGAAGGAAAGAGAAGTCAAACTCACATCCGATCCAGAGCACACGGGGGGAGAGACTGGCCTTGTGCCAGCTCAATGGGACCCGGAGGATCAAGAGAAACACAACCAGTAAGCCGGACCAGAGTGGCGCACTGACATCCTCAAGCGCGGCCAAGAAGTCATCTACGTAGATGAAGCCGGAATGGGACACGTACCAGAGGCGGTGGGATAACCGGACCAGGAGGCCGGCCATCCTGGACCAATAGAAACTGCTGGCACGAGCACCGAAGTTGAGGCACTTGGACAGGTACAGGGTACCCCGATGCCGGAAACATAAAAGGCCCCAGTCGCATTTGCGGATGCGGATCCGGCGGTGGGCTTTAGCGACATCCAGAACCAGAGCGCATAAGCGCTCTCGAGCGGAGAATACCGGAGAGCAAAGTCGAACGTCCATCAAGGTGGGGTTGGGACACCGGTTGGGGAGCTGAGTGTGAGAGGTTACCCCGGAAACGGAGCTATCTACCACCAAGCGAGGAGGTCGATGGTCGGAGACCACGACCCCCAGTTTCCCAACCGCCGTTTTGACGAACCGTGACCGGAGCTCCGCGTCCCCTCCAGGAACTGCTTCTATCCACCCGGATGCAATCTCTGTGGCCAGAAGGTCGTCCACGATGTCCGGATGCGAGAGTGCGGATTGCCACGATGACTCGCAGTGCTGCAGATCGATTGGCGCATCCGAGTGAATGTCCGGAGGGGGAAGGACCGGACAGGGGGGCATGGGGAAGTCAACGCCCAGCGGGACCCCGGATTGGAGAAGACGGGCGTAGTCCGAATCCGCGTCGCCCAATATAAGGGCAAGACAGTGGAGAAGGCGCAGGCGAAAAGGCTGGCCTTCATCCACGGA